CCTGGCTCTTTGAGCTGTGGTCCATGTCTAGTATCTTTTAGAAAGACATCTCATAGTCATTTAAAGACTTCAAGTAATTGAGAACTCATCGTATTCCCATACAATTTGTTCCAATACTTAATTATTTAACTGATTAAAATTTGCACTTTATTTCTAGTCTGAATTTGCCTAGCTTCAGTTTCAAATCACTAGATCTTTTTATACCTTTGTCTGCTAGATTAGTCGTACTATCAGAAATCTCTTCCCCATGCAGGTACTTATAGACAATGATCAAGTCACCTCTTAACCTTCTCTTGGATAAGCTAAATAGAGTTTCTTAAGTCTTTCACTGTCAGACAGGTTTTCCAGACATCAAATCATTTTAGTAGGTCTTTTCGGAACCCTTTCCAAAGAGTGGACACAGGGTTTCAGTAAAGGTCCTACTAATTCTGTATACAGAGATACTACCTGTTCATATATTAACTCTAAGCAAACACGTTCTTCTAAAATCTTGTCCTAGAAAGGACTCCTACTTCTTCACTAACATCTCACAGTTATATAGCACTTTCCACACAGCAAGATTCATCCGCGCTAGAAAGCCGCTGTCTCTAGGGTAGACTTTGGGGGTTTATGTCTTTATTTTCTCCAGTTTGGGAAGTATGAAATTGACCTGGTCTAACATACTGCTAATTCAGAAATACATTTTAACACATGATCAGAAAACGGCAGAATTACAGGTAGAATTCATAAACAACATGTGATTTGATTGGAATGGATTATTTCAATAAACTAGTTTTTTTTGGGGGGGGGGTTTGGAAAATACACAGCCAAACAATATTTCCCCCAAGATTTGTACATCATCTAAGCCTTGACTTCCCTTTACCTTAAAATATTGCATTTTAAGTCACCTAAGTTTTTTTTTTTGGTAAGGTGTTTTGGATATAGGAATATGAAGCCATTCTAGACAGACCTGAAAGTGTTAGCCTTAGGGAGGGAGCATGCCTGGTGTATTAACTAGATTTCTAGTTATGTATATTTCATACCATGCTGTGCAGAACATAGGAAAGGGCTGCTACAAATGTCAATTTACACACAGATTGTGATTGGGTAACAAGAGTAAGAAGTTACATTGAATGAAGTTTTTAATTAAATATGAATCATGGTAGTCCAAAACAACTTTGATGGAGGTAAGTTTACTGGCTAGTGAAAATAAAAGTAAATACCACCTTTGTTTTCTTGAAAACAAAATTTTAATGGAAAAATGTACGGTGGGGGGGGGGTCACTATAAGGTGGAGTCAAATTTTTTAAACACATTTTACATAGCATTTTTTGACATCTTACATTAAAAGTAAGAATTTCAGAAGATGTATTTACTGCTCATTACTTCAGTCAGGGCCAAGATTTCACTCGTGTTATTCATTTGCTGCAGGTATCTTGGTTTGGATGATATACTTTCATATCTATAGTGAGTTTCACTTTTATTTATAATCACTTTCAGGTTTTCATGCAAACAGCACAATGCTATAACCTTTGGCCTGTTAACACTGCAGGGGAATATTATAAAAACTGTTAAAAAAGTCATGCAAGTCAATCAGCTGTATAGGGTTAGTTTTTCCTTGTATGCAAACAAGATCTGGCTAAGCAAGAAAGTATGGGATTATAACTAGGAATAATCTGATGAAGAAAAGGAAAATTTATCTGAATATCGGGGGGGGAGGAACTCCATCAGTTAGACACATTAAGCTGTGGAAATAATCTCTTAAAAGGAAGTAGTGCACACCATCAGTTGGGATACTTGAAGACAGGACAAAACACAAAATGTTCTGCAGAGAACAAGCTTGCATTAGCAAAGAGGTGATACATTAAGGTTTTTTTCCCACCTCACACCTCTAAGATCTTTTTTTTGACTTGACAGTCTCTCTTTACAACTTATAGTCTTTTTCTAACAAGAGAGTGGCATGTAAAAGGAAAAATGTAACAGGAGGATTTTTAAAGCCACATCACAATGGCCACACCCCTTTAGTAAGATAAGATCCCAAACCTCTTCACTGGGCCAGAGGCTGCTGCAGCCATAGGGATATGGGGCAAGAAATACCCCCATGTAAAAAGTAATAGTATCTTTGCAGGGACAGCTGATACATGGAGAACACAGAAGGTAAGCTGGCACCAGAGAAAGCACACAATAGATGCAGGCAAGGAGCCAGGATGTTAGAGGAGTGTGGCATGGGATTTTTGCCAATTAAGCTTATTAAACTGTAAAAGTCTTCTGAAGGCAGTGGTGGTAGAGCTAATGCTTGATTCAGTTCAAACTAGATTGTTCCTTACATTATATTGTTCAACCTTGCAGTGGATGATGGCATTGAATTACCTAAATTTATAGAAAAGAATGAGAGGTATGAATGGAAGCGTCCTTCCAGTTATAACCAATTATAGTCTTGAGTACCAAGAAAGGGGGGAAATTGTGCTAAGAGAAGCATATATGGTCAATTCCAATTTTAACCACAGAAATATATTATCAGCATAGATGCTGCTTCTCTGTAGCATACACAGAACATGGGCACACGTTTTCCTGCCCAAACTAATATTAGAACATCAAACATACTAAGGGATGTTGAGAAAACAGAACGTTACATCTCCACTGATTTCATTCATGTAGCCCAGCATGATTTTACCCTTTAATTTTCTTCAGCAGTAGGGTGATAGATTTATCCAAAAGATATACTGAAGTTATAACAGTATCAATGATTCCCATTTAATAAGGGAACCCAGTCCAGCCAACCAGCACCCGGTCTAGTACCACACTACTATCAAGGGCAAGATTTTCTAGACAGATTTTAAATTGAATTTAAATATAATTACTAAGATACAATTCTCAGCAAATCAGATCTCAGAAAATGTTTTATCGCTTTTGACCACACATTTCCCAGCTTTTATTCTTTTTTATTTTTATTCAATTTAACTTCCCAAAGGGGGCAAAGTGAGGTCTCTTTACATAGCAACTATAGTCATTTTTCAGTCTCACAATACACAAATCCATGTACTGACTGGTAGATATTACTAGGCAGTCAGAGCATATGGACTTTTGTACTCACTCAAGTGACCCCTCCACTTTATCCCATCATTCCAGACAAAGAAATGAATGTTTAATAGGGAGGGAAGCCTTCCTCAAAAGGCAAAGAGAAGCAGGTATGCATATGCAGGGAGAGGGTTCATACTAAGATGAGGGTTAAATAGAAGGACAGAATCCAAAGCTGACGTAGGAAGCAGGGATGTCTATAAAGGGGAATTTGTGCATGCCAAGCTGGGGTGTAAATCTACAGCGCTCTAGTATATCATGCACTAACTGTGTGGCCCATGCTGGTGCTCACTAAAAGTTACCTAGTGTGCTTTGACCTACTACTGTTCACAGAGCACTAGGGAAATTTGAAAGTGCACAGTAGGAGGTGCATGCAGTTACTGGGAAGAACGCTACAGAATGTAGATTTACACCCCACTTGCCATGCACTAACTCTCCATAGAATCTCTTAGACACGGCATATAAAGAGAGTGCCAAGGGCTGTACGCAATCAGAGCAGATACTGTAATAACAAAGTACAATTCAGATCATCCTCATTGTGAGAACACCTACTGGTAACTGAACAATTAGTGTATTTAGCCCAGGATCTACTAATGACTTTGGAAAGGAAGCCACAGAAAGTTGCTGAAATAATTGTTTTGAAAGTAAATTAAATATTTTTATTTCATTCCATCCCAGGCACAGGATTTCAAAAAAGAACCAGACATTTGAGTTCACTAAGTAAGCATGTTTCCACTGTCCAAACTTTGAAGACCAATTTCTTGGGTTCAGAAAAACTTTTGAAAACACCAGCAGTTTTTAAAAAGGCTGTAAGTCCCAATCCCGGAGCAGCAAAGCCTCCTTTGTACAGTTTGATGTATCCATCTTATCCTTGCCTTATTTAGAAAAAACCCAGACGAAAGATTGTCCTTCCTTAAGATGCTGCAGCAGCATGAGAGCTCAGCTCTCCTGTAGCATTCCTCTTTGGATACGGCAGAGACCATATGGTTAGTGGGGTTTGGCTCTCCATAACCCCCATTAGTAGACTTTTTGGATGCTTGAGGATTTGATGGCTAGCTGCCTGTTGCTCCCCTTATTAGGCATTCCTACTCAGATGCTGAGGCTGCTATTAGGGGGGAGTGGTGTGTGTGCACACCCACAACTCCTGTTAGCAGATATCATGGACCACCACAGCTGGTTCCCCATACCCACTCTGGCTGGATACTCTTGCTCTGATGATGACTAATGCAGGGCCCTCCTCCTGTCTATCAGCACAAATTCCTGGTCCAGGCACTGGAGAACAATGACTAGGGAGAGCCAAGTTCCCATTGGCATAGACTCTTATTTTGGGGTGTGTGGCGGCTCCCAGCGACTGGACCCCATTAGCCAGCCCTCCTGTTCAGACGCGGGACTGGGGAGACTACAGGGGTCACTGGATGCTGCGGCTCAGGTACTGCAGGAACATGTTGGCCAGCTGGGGCAGGTTCTCCTCACTGGGGTGCATTTTGGTGTAGCTGATGAACTGCCTGCGGAGCCGACTCAGCTCAGCCATGCCCAGGGGCCGGTTCAGCACCAGCCCCTCGCTGGCCCCAGCCACCTGGATCAGCTCCCCAGGCTGGGCCCCGCTCCTTTGGGCAGCCAGCACGGCAGCCAGCACTTCCTGGGTGACCCGGTCCAGCTGGTGGAGGAAGCCGGCGGACTGCAGGGGCTGCGAGCGGGTGGACTGGTTGGGCGGGGGCGGCCTGCTCTCGAAGAGGGCGCCGCGGATCTCCGCCAGCGGCAGCGGCTCCTGCCCGTGCACGGTGAAGAGGGGCCGGTCCCAGCGGTTCCGCGAGTCCGGGGTCTCGAAGGGGCCCGCGGACGGGTGCGGGGCGCCCCCCGCGCAGTGCAGCAGGCAATGCGGCGTGCCCGCGTGCTTGGTCACGCAGTAGAGCTCGTAGCGGAAGCTCTTCAGCTCGTTCCCCGCGTCGACGATCACCACGTCCCGCCGGCTCAGCCGCCGCTCCACCTCGGCCCGCAACGCCGCGCGGCCCCCCACCGCCTCGGCCACCACGTGCACCGGCCGCTCCTCCCCGCTCAGCGCCCCCCGCAGCTCCTCGGCCCGGCGGCTCTTCCCGCTGCCCGGCAGCCCGCACAGCACCACAAGCGGCATCTTCCGGCCGCGGCCAGGGACGCCGCCATTATAACCCGGAAGTCCAACCCAAGCACATCCTCGGAGGTCAACCAACGTCACTCCCAGCCCCAGGGCAACAAGGGGGCTTGGCCCTAAGCACGAGACGATGTCAGGTTCTAACGCCCCTAGGCAGGGAGGGGAGGCCTCGGGGCGAGGGAAACACATCACAGTGTGGCCCAGCCACGGCGCCTCATGCCATGGCACCAGCCACCCCACAGCATTGCCACCCCACCGGGCATCGCCCCATGCCATGGCACCAGCCACCCCACAGCATTGCCACCCCACCGGGCATCGCCCCATGCCATGGCAACCAGCCACCTCACCGGGCATCGCCCCACGCCATGGCAACCAGCCACCCCACTGCATTGTCACCCCACCGGGCATCGCCCCATGCCATGGCAACCCGCCACCCCACAGCACTGTCACCCCACCAGGCATCGCCCCACTCAATGGCAACCCGCCACCCCACAGCATTGTCACCCCACCAGGCATCGCCCCATGCCACACCCCACAGCATTGTCACCCCACCGGGCATCGCCCCATGCCATGGCACCAGCCACCCCACAGCATTGTCACCCCACCGGGCATCGCCCCAGGCCATGGCACCAGCCACCCCATGGGGCATTGCCCCACGCCATGGCACCAGCCACCCCACTGGGCATCGCCCCACGCCATGGCAACCAGTCACCCCATGGCATTGCCACCCCACCGGGCATCGCCCCTGCCATGGTAACCAGCCATCCCACGGCACTGCCACCCCACCGGGCATGCCCCATGCCATGGCAACTAGCCACCCATGGCACTGCCACTCCACTGGGCATCGCCCCCTGACATGGCAACCAGCCACCTGACAGGGCATCATCCCATGCCATCGCAACCAGCTGCTCCACGGCATTGCCATGCCAGAGGGCATTGCCCCAAGCCAAGGCAACCAGCCACCCCACGGCACTGCCACCCCACAGGGCATCACCCCAGGCCATGGCAACCAGCCACCCCACAGGGCACTGCCCCATATCACACAGCCACCCTGCAGGGCATTACCACCCCACAGGGCATCACCCCAGACCATTGTACACCTTCTCCATAGCACACAGCCACCCCACAGTGCCACCGCAGGCCATGGCGCTCAGCCACCCCATAGCACGCAAACACACACAAAGTTTTTGTCTCGCCTACACACAAAGGTTTTGTCTCACCTATGCACTCCTTGGTCCTATACAAGCTTTGCCACTCAGAGATACTCAGATACTACAGAATTTGGATAGAGATGTCACCTGGGTCTGCCCTTCCAGCAATGGAAGATGAGGCTATGAAATTCACTGACTGACCATTCGCTGCACTAGCCAAGACTAAGGAAGAGACATCTCACTGCCAATGCTTGACACCCTCCCTCCCACTAGCTTGTCTCATTAAATGTAAGGTGGACTGCGTAAGGTCACATATTACTTTTCTAAGGAAAAACAATAGTGCAGTAATTATCATAAATACTGCAGTAACATGGTTTTGGGGAAGGCATATCACATGGATGCCATTACGTACATTTAAGTATCACCTTAGATTTCTCTAACTCAGGGGTTCTCAAACTGGGGGTCGGGACCCCTCAGGGGGTCATGAGGTTATTACGTGGGGGGTCGCAAGCTGTCATCCTCCACGCCAAACCCCGCTTTGCCTCCAGCATTAATAATGGTGTTAAATATATTTAAAAGTGTTTTAATTTATAAGGGGGGGTCGCACTAAGAGGTTTGCTATGTGAAAGGGGTCACCAGTACAAAAGTTTGAGAATCACTGCTCTAACTGCACTTGCTGTGTTAATTTTATGTACTCACTACACATTCTCATATTGTGAGTGGGAGAAAACAGATGGATCAGTTTGAACGCAAAATTCAAATTCCAGCTATATCTTTCATAAAAATGTAGGCTGTAATTTTTATATTTTTAAAAATAAGAAAATATTTTACACTTCCAGATTGGTGTCCAGATAGTAGTAAAATAATCCTTTCAATTAACTCTATGGCCTCAGTCCTGCAAAATTTATGCATACAACGGCAAGTAATCCTGTTGAGCTCCAAAAAAAACATTCCTGTACGTAAAGTTAAGCACTTGTTTATATGTTTGCAGGACTGGGGCCCATGTCTCTTTCTATATTGTAGTAGGTTGTCAAAAAGCGTGATAATTTTCTTTTCAGCTCAATGATGCAATAAAGCCACAATCCAGTAACTGGATCTGTGGGTAGACCTATGTAAATTTATGAAGACCTACACGGCCTCAAGGATCTATCTACCTGGAAGATCTGATTGCAGGATCAGAGTTTATCATTAACAAATGTTAAATGTTTTCTCTCTGATGTATTATCTGGGTCTGTAGGTTCTCCTATAGCACCTGGATATTTTTACACATAACTAGCTCTGATTAAATATAGGATCAATGCAGAATCTTTTTTCTCTTTTTAATGTAAAGCAACCCTGTGAATTTAAATTGTATAACATACCTGGCTGCTGCCTCTTTCTTCCCATCTTCAAGTGTCCTCCAATGAATGTGATCTCCAAAACCTGGAAAAGGGAAAGTTTTATAAAAGTAGCATAATTTTAAATGTCAAATGACAGATAAATATATTTTCTGACACTCAAGGACACCATCAACTAGTTTTATTTCCCTTCTTTTAGCAAGCATTTTTTTATATGTAACCATTTGTTTTCAATATTCATACTCACTATCACTTGAATCTCTGTTCTTGGATAATAAACTTACTCTTGTTTTCAATACACATATATCTAAGTGCTGTGTGTTCAGCAGAGCTGTGTTCTAAGGTATAACTAAGAACAGGGCCGGCTGTACTGTTTTTGCCACCCCAAGCAGCGTGCCGAATTGCCGCCGCGGACGGTGGGGGTAGTCTGTGTGCCTTTAGGGCAGCTCGCCCATTTCCACGGCAGCGGCAATTCGGCAGCAGCTTCTGTCTTCATCCGGAAGACAGAAGCCACCGAATTGCCGCCGCGGGCAGCTGAACATAGAAGCTGCCGCCGAATTGCCGCTGCCGCGGAAACGTGCGTACCGCCCTAACGGCACACGGACTGCCCCCGCCGTCCGCGATGGCAACTCGGCGCGCTGCTTGGGGTGGCAAAAACACACGAACTGCCGCCCCTTGCAGATGGCCGCCCCAAGCACCTGCTTGAAATGCTGGTGCCTGGAGCCGGCCCTAACTAGTAAGCTGTGGGGTACTGTTCCTTTGCAAACAGCAGGCCTAGTAATTCTAAGTGTTCAGTGAATAAGCAGCTGGACCTTACAGAGAGCGTTCAGAGGACTTGGGAGATGGGTGTGCCTATTGCTAATCTGCTGAGAGAAAGCAAGGAGTGCAGAGCCCTGGAGGGGAGCACTGCCAGAGGCTGGGGTAGTCAGGGAGCTGACACACAGCAGGCACAGGCAAGATTTCTTCATACTAAGGACGAGCGATAGCAAGGTGCCTCACACCCCTGGATAGGCCCAGGAATCATCAAATTTCATCTGTGAATATTGGATTTTTGGGTAAAGTTAATTTTCATAATCCTCTTTCATAATATGCAATGCTTACGAAGATTGGGGAAAATTCCAATATTAATACCTTATAGTCAATTATTAAAGAACATGGGGGCTCAGTTCTGCAGGCCCTAACTCATACAAGTAGTCCCACCAATTCTGTAATTAGCAGACATGCAATCCAAGCTGTGTATCCTGAACTGAAGACAAGGAGAGGATGCAGAATGACACCAAGATCTGCTATCTGATGGTAGAGCTGGCAACTATCAGCATTATCCATCGAATAAGATAGCAGGATTGTCTCTGTGTCACTCTGAAGATTAGAATGTCTGTTGAGTCAGTGTGAAGTGATGGAAACAGCTACAAACAGAGCTGAGAGCTCTTTTTGTATAGAATATCACCAGGTTCAATCACCACTGGGATTCGCAGCCTGTACTATCCAATGTTTAAGTTCTCAGACATTTTTTTTGCTTTTTTCACACATTACGAATTACACCCATACAACAGCACAGCTTTCACCTATCACTATGCTATTTTTCTATTTAGAGTTAAACAATACATAAGAGTGCCTATCCAGGCTTACAGGCATCTTTGCCATATATTAAAAATATAACCATAGTGGTACAATATATTTCTGTATGGGATCAAATTCTATTGTCTGTGAATGTCCCTTTTCTGCAAAAGTATTTGTGTATGTTTTACTTTAAGTACATGCTTAAGTCTAGTTCAATGTGACTTAAGTATATGCTTTCTTAAGCATTTTGCTGAATCAGGCTGTGAATAGGCAGCAGAAGTCTCTGATGTCAATGGGGACAAGACTGGGGCTATGGTGTGCATTTAGCTCAAGGGAACCTTACATAAAATATGCAGGGGGATGAGGAGGAGCATTATTTCTTGTAATCAAGGATATTTAAGTACACATTAGATCACATTTCTTTCTAGTAAGCAAGGATGACTACATTCATTAACAAGAAAATCATCACAGTCTTCCCTCCCTCCCATGACCTGATTAATATTAATAGTTTTATTATCAAAAAAATTAAGAAGAACCTTTCCATGGTGAATGGAATTCTGTTACTAACAAAATGCAACACTCAACAGCTTATGAAATAACCTTATTTTTAAAAATAGAGACCCATGGAGTTTAAATTAAACTATCAAAAAAGATAACTAGTAATACTAAAGACACTTCTTCCCTGTCACTGAAGAACATAGTCAAGAACATTGATGCACTGACTGAACCTGCTCCTCACATTCCAGACTTCAGAACAAAGATAGGGAAGCAAAATAAGGTGGACTGAACAGAGCTGGGGAAAGATAAATCCAAATCATGGTACAGTACAGGATGGTCTAACAACTACAGGTTTTATTAAGAAAAGCTGAAATCAGTAAATAACGTAAAAAGCAAGACAATATGGCTAGAAGGGATTGAGTCAGAACAAGTGACAAGAGAAGGATTGTAGTGGAAGTACCGTTTACTGGAATTTGAACAGTAGTGAGAAATAAAAACTATAGGATAAAACATAAAATATCCACTTGATCACCTATTTACTAGCCATACTCCAATGTGCTTATGTTGCATAGTTGTAGGGATGTCAAAATGGGCCAATCCGAAGGGGAAATGAAAAATTTCATTGAGATTTCATTGAAAGACCCTTTACAAAATCCTTCAACACCAAAGAAATTTTAAAAACTGCCTTAAAACTAACTCAGAATGAACAAATCTTCTAATTGAGAATGAGACTTGGCAGGTCTGCTACAACCAGCAATTGACAGTTTTGAAAAAGAATAAACCTCTTCTCCACTCCCACAACATTAACGCATTCCCTACTGTATCAGGGCTGCATTAGCAATTGCTCATAATCAATTTATGGCCTGGCACCATAATATCTTGTATGTTTCAACCTCAGTTCTGCCACTAAAGCGATTACTCCTTACCCCCCCACCGGTGAAACTTACCTAAATAATCAAAATTACTATTTGAATGCATTATTGCAAATATTAAATACAGTTCTGGGGTGCGGGGATTTATTTATTTATTTATAGCAATCATAAAAGTTTAAATACAAACAAAAAGAAAAGAGATGCCTAACCCTTTCCAAGCCCTTCTCCAGCAGAGGATGTGATAAGCACCAGGAAAATCAGGCAAAAAAAGAGATTGGAGAGTGCTGCCGCTAATTGAATCTTCATGGTGTCTGCTTGGATCCTCGACAGCACAATGAATACTTCTCGATGGCCACAGTCAGCAAGATCAGATCAGATCAGATCAGGGTTTGGGGTGTGTGTTTTTTTAACCCAGGAAGTGATGTTAGGCGGATGTGGGTGGCGCTTCAGAGTCCTGTATCAGGTTAAAAGGAACAGATCCCCCAAAATCTGAATGAGAGAATTGGCAAAATTATTTCTGATCTATAGTTACAGCTCTGCATATTTGTTTCCAAACTGGCCACTTTCCGACAAGAGACATTGCCGGGGGGGACGACATTTAAATAGTAATTTAATCTAGATTTGAAAGATTTCAATTCACACATGCAAACTAGTTCTGCCGCCAGCCCCTCATGAGTAGTAATATTGCTCAAGTCCAGATTTTGGCTAAAGCTGTAATTGTTACCAGAATGATTTAATGTTTAACTAACCCAGTCTACATATGTCTTGTGGGATTGTCAGAGAGTTGGTCGAAATTGATTGGTTGCTCTTCAGCACCTGCCAGCGAGAGATGGATTTCAGTGTTATTTTATTCTGTACCAAAAAAAAAAAAAATAGGACCGTATATGCTCAAAGTGGAACAATCTTCGAGGTTCGGTACATTAATGCGTAGCTGTCTGCAAACTGAGAAAAGTAAAAGCTGGATTATCGCAGATCTTGATTTATATGTTTTACAAATTGGAATCTGTGGGATTTTCCAAGAGTTATTACATTTAAAAAAACCTGCTTCTTAAAGTCTGCTTTACTGTACAAATCCTGACCAGCCAGCCTCTAAAACCCGGAATCCTGAGAACTATCCCAACATGCTGCTAACTCCGGTCAATTGGCGACTGGAATCTTCTTGGGACACACGACACCGGTTTGTGCAACCCTGATCTCACGAGTACCGTCCCATTTTGCAAACACCACGGCTTTTGTTTTTTGCAAAAAAAAAAAAAACCCCAAACAAAACAAACCCAGCACCTCAGAGAAAGCAATTTCCTTGCCTACTGCGCCGCAGAAATAGACCAATGCCCTCCTCCACCCTACATGGTCCGTAATAGAATACAGTACATGGCCCAGCAACAAGTTCCACCCCCGTCTACCCCGACGGAGACTACAACTCCCAGAATGCACTACCTCGACCTGGTTCTAGAATCCCGGTACGTGCATTGCATGCTGGGACTTGTAGTTTCCCCCTGCAGAGTGGGTGCGCAAAGCGAAAGGGAAGAAGAGGGAGCTACCTACAACTTTCCATGTTATGCAAATAACTCGGTATCCCTTCCAATCGGAGGTGAGTGGGCGGGGCCCAGGGTCCCGTGGTCCGCGGCCTCCTTTCTCTGTGCCCCTCTCGTCTCCTTCCCTGCCTGGCGTGGCCGCCATCTTCTTCTCGCCGCGTGTTGGCTGCGGAGGGGTTGCCGGACTCAGGTGAGAACTTTCTATTTCCTCCCCTCCTCCACCTTTTCTCCATCCCCCCGTCTCCGCACCGGACCCTCCCATCCCCCCCTTCTCTCTGCGGCGCGGCGCGGCCCGGCTCGCACGGGGGGAGGAGCAGTCGGTGCCGTGAGGGGCATGGGCCTGCCCGCTGCCTGAAGGGAGCTCGGCTTGTTCTGCGGAGCCTTTCCCCCTCCCCTCAGGGCTGGTCATGGGGGGCGCCCCAGGGGCAGGGACCTTTCCCTCCCTCAGAGCTGGATGTGGGAGAGGGGGTCTTCTCCCCGACCGTAGACCCTATCGGCGCCAGGGTTGGCTATTGGGAGGGCCGCCTCCTTTCCAAGTCATGGACCCACTGGCTATGGTGTGGGGAGGGGGGGCTGCTCCCCTTGGCTATAATCACTTCCCACCTCCCCAAGGCTGGATTTTGTCCCCTTCTCCTTTTCAGGGGCATACACCCCTTCCCTCCAGGCCTCTGGGGCAATTAATATTGTGGGGATCTCTTCTGCACCCACCCGCCCCCTGTAGAAATTCCCTCCTGTAGAAAACGAACATCTTTCTCCCACCTTCTTTTCTAGGGCTGGATTTGGGGGAGCCCCTATCTCAGGACACGTC